ATGCAATCACAAACAATCTCTCTCGGGATCTAATTACCGCGAATGGCTGAAGTTAAAGCAGTGCAAGTTAACTTGAAACGTCCATCTGCAATAGCGCGTTGGATTGAAGCCAAACACGTTTTTGTCTCAGCAACATGTAGACAAACATTTTCAAATTAAAAATACACGTTCACGCCATTTTGTTTTGAAGGATGCAGGACCAAAGCTGACCTGGCAAAAATCAACCTGTTAGCGTAGGTCCTGAATAACCCGGTTACTAATCGATATTTGCCGCCCGACTTGCGCCTGAACTTTATTTCGTATTTAGATAATCTTATTTTGTATCTCTCGGGCGATGTTATTGTATTACTGTAATGGCTAAAGTGAGCTTTCTTCTTGTTTAGAAGTCAAACGAAATTAAATTGCAAATGTGTAATTGTTTTAACGTTGAACATAGAAAGGGATATTTTTTCCAACGGTTTGTAAATAAAAACTGCGTAGGCAAATCGAAAGCTCTTTGTTGATGAGATTTACTGATTGTATTATAGGTTTTTTGACGTTTCGCATTATTTGACGATAACCTTTATCGTTTTATATTTATGGCACACCAAATTAAGATAAATCCATAGAGCAACACATTTCAGATCACCGAACCATCATTGACGTACGGCCACGCCCGAGCGTTTCGGATCGGAGTGCATTGCCCTTTAGGAAAGGGATGCATCTGTATTTACAGGTCCACCTGTAGCCCGGGATGGCCGAGTCGTGGGTCACTGGCCCAGTTCCCGTGTCCTACTTCCCAACCCTGCGCAACAAGTGACGTGACATTATGTAATGCTGTGTTTAGGTGATGTAGCGGCCGCTACCGACGACCACGTTACATGGCTCTCAATCACTGGGATGGCTAATTAAGACGATGGGCCCCGAATTGATATGTCGCCAAGATACGGCTCAAGCTTTGGCAATATCTATCTGTATTGTTTAGGGATGTCATGTTGATGAATGATCAGATCTTTGGTAAATGATAGAAGTCAAGGAGGCTAAATACAAATTATATCACCATATTAGAAGTATTTTAATGATATATACTTTTAAAAGCTAGTCGTGACTTAACGTCCTTTTTTTGCTCTTTTCGGAGAAAAGTAATTCAAGTTAGTGTAATTTTCTTTAAGCAAATGTTAATTTATTTTTGCTTAGCAACGGTTGCCAACGAAAATGGCGATCGATGAGTCTACTCGTGTTTCTTTGTATCTTAATAATATCCATTTGACCTACCTATTTCTTAAACTTCGTATTCTTAAATAAACTTAATTACCTACTTTTTAAGGCATTATTTTCTCGTCGTTTTGGATAATATTAATTTTAGAAACTGTGATGTGGGCGAAACCTTAGAAAAGAGATTATCCTGCCCTATTTACTTAACAAAGTGTTCCTTTCGCAACATGATCTATACTCATGAATAATGTAGTGAAGAAAATAACGTCTATTCTTATGCGAAGTATTAATTAACCTAATTAGAATATTATTAGTTGAATGTATTTTACATTTTTTTATTAATATTAATCGTGTGATGATTGGCAATTAATGTTTAACTCTTTATTTAAACGTTAGAAACTACGTGCGTCACCTGACTCAGCGAAAACGTCCCAAAAGTCAAGGTCAAAGCTTTTAACTCCGCATTGGGGGCCATAAAGGACTTCTCTACTTAGTGTATAGAATGCGATCGAGTCCGGTCATGACCCCTGAAACAATTTAAAGGGCTGCGGACGGGAACCAATATTTACGCAAAGAGATCGTCAGCTTTGCTGCGTTCTATATTTGCTGTAAATAAACTCGCTGTGAAATTGACTGGCTTGGGTTACATTCCTTGAGCATTCAACATATTTGATAACATTTTGTTTCATATTGTATAGATTATATTATCCATTTGCATGTGGATTATATTATCATCATTATTCTTTATATGATAGGTACGCGCATACGGATGACTTGATGGTAAGCAACCGGTGTCGCCTATCAACATTCGCAACATTAGAGAAGTTACGAGTGCGTTGCCGGCTTTTTGGGGATTAGGGTTTCGAAAATGTAGAGATTTAGAAACGATGGGGGTAGGGAAAGGATAAGGCTTCCGGTAACCTCGCTCACACGGCGAAAACAACGCTGTGGTTGTTTCACGCCAGTTTTCTGTGAATACGTGGCGTCACTCAGGTCGAGCCGACACATTCGTGCTGAAGCTGGCTCTCCAACACTTGATGATTTTATAAGATCGACAACTAACTCATTGTTAGTTGATATTAAGACCTTTTATAGCTTTGTTTATGTCCAAATGTTGGCGAATGTGTAAATAAATCGAAATAAATAAAATCCTTTTGAAACCAAATTATCCGGGAAACAATAACAGCATATTCAGTGTAAATTTATTGCCAACAATAACAAGGATAAACGGTTAATAAATCGTGGGCGAGTCTATTATTACTTACCGGTTTGCGAGATGTATAGGACAGAAATATTAACTTAATGGCAACAATGATATAAAGTTGTACGTTAGTACCATCAATTATACATAATCCTGGAGTAAAATTATTGTTACAATAATGTTTGATGTCACCGGAGTGTTCGTGTTCAAAAACCAAGTCGGATCAGTTGATTTCTTTGCAGAAAATGATCGTCCTGTCCTTCGCTTTGGGTCCAGAAAGTCGTAATAAAATTGCGGTAGTCGTAAAAACTTTGCCGTCGTATATTAAAAGCTAACCGATTTTATTGCTTGTCACAAACTTGAATCTTTTGGGCTTAGGTTTTAGTTAGCTCCTGTATCTAAATTCAAATTTTTAAAATGATCAGTAATTAAATTAGTTTGCCATTGAGATTAACAAGCTAACTCCTGTGCGAAAAGAAATATACCAAAATGCTAAGCACATTTTTGAAAAAGCTTCTCTTTGAATAGGATCTACGAGAGAATTGGCTTTTGTATCAAAGCAATTTTGTACAAAGTAAAATAAACAGGTTCAAGGACGTAATTGAATTGGAAAGCGAACAGTAAACACCTACAAAGCCCAGGCGTAGCACTATACGAGAGTTCAAATATAACCTAACTGTACTGTATCGATCCCGCTAAGTGCCACACAAGCAGAAGTTACCGAAAGCACTTACGATAATTTTGAAATAGGTGTGAGACCAAGTAGGTATCATAAAGAAACTTCTCTGTTTGTTTCACTCGAATGGTTGCTGAATATTTCAAACTCAAGGTTGATCTGTTCTTATTTGGACTTTGAATAATTCATTGTTGCTTGGAACGATTTCCATGTATTTTGAAGTTAGAAAAACTTTTTGTCTTCTCATTTTCTTTTTTTTTAAAGCATGTTAAAGCGGATGTCGTTTGCGTTTCATATTTAAAGTTCTCCGAAAAAGATTCCCCTTATCAACTTATGTAAGGTTAAGTTATGAAACATTTTCCCTTTATTGAGGAACCAAGTTAAAAACTTGACGTACTCAATAATTGATTTCTGTCCTGATTTAAGCTAGTCTCGTTCTTGGTAAACAACCAATTTGTAACTTGTTCGTTGTTAATAAAATAGCTCAATATTTTTAGCGGACATTCTGCAAACAAGTAGGCTTCATAAGTTTGTGTTTTATGCAATGAACTTTTTACGGCCTTTACATTTTCTTCGCCATCATACGTAACGTAACTAAGAATTGCAGAACACTAATGCTGCACTATGCACTGCACTTGAATTGCATTACGTCACAACTCTCAGCTTGAAATCTTTTTCCGAACGGATTTTGAATGCACTTTTCAGAAAAAGATTTAACAACACCAGTAATCAAATATACTTCTTCACTTTTAAAACTAGTTACAAAAGTACGTTATCAATATAAGAAGCAACTTACAATAGTTGTTATCGTGGATCAGCCCCATCGTGGCATCGTGGCGTGTTGCCGTGTTGCCGCTTTCGTGTTTGAAGATATTATCTAGGTTAGACCGCTTTAAAACTTAGATTAAAACCTCGCGTGTCTCATGTAAGCTAGCATTTCCAAGTTTTCCGCGCCCTTTTATCAGGTTTCTGAATGGTATGTATTCATTGGTGTTGGGTCTTTGTGTGAAATATAATTTATGGGTGTAGAAGAGTTGGGTTTTGTTGACAGTCGGGGTTTAGGGGAGAATGACTATAACGTTCCACGGCCCCGACCCGGTGCAGGAGAAGGAACGGGCCTATTTTGAGACAGTATGAGACTATCACTCTCTCGCTCCACCTAGGACGGGAGAAGTTATGCGATGACTTTCCCCCTCTAAGAAGGCCTCTAAGTCATTACATATTCGGTTATATTCGTGTTTATATCACAGAATAACAGCACAAATATACTTTTGACGTAATAATCAACAACTTTCTTGTCGTAACGTCGTACCATTAGTTAGTCCCAAGGTCAAGGACGCACCGTTGCTAGGCAACGTACCCACAACAAAGCTTTTCTCATTGTAATTTAACATTATTAATGGTTGTTAAACATGGATTTTGCATTAAAATGTTATTAGCTATTATAATCGGTGGCTCACAGTATATTATAATGATTGCGACGTTTTCAGATGTCCCACGGTGGGCGCCATTAAGCTTACATGTTCAGTTTTCTGAACGATAACCGAACTTTTGCAAATGTAGGCTTTCCTGTAGGTACTTGATTAATGATTGAGGTTAGAGTCATTATCGCTTCGATCGTGAAGTTTTATATGATTAAGCGGTTAATAGTCCCACAGTGGGTGCCATTAAGCCGCAACACGGTTATTTTGTTACTGGAAATGAATTATTCAACACATTCGTGCAGATTATGGCTGATTTACATGTTGGAATTTGTCAGTGTTTATTATATGTTCGCATTGGAAAACGAATTATTATTATTGAGTATTATTAAGACTTAGAACGCCATGTTGAACAATGGTGTCAATGTCAGTTTTCAATAGTTTTTTGGTCGGCAGTCAATTGGTGTAGATGGAATTCTAGACTTGGATGTCTTTTCTTTTGTTGTAGGTATCTCCACGCTGTCCGGCTGCGGGTCGCCGGATCAGCTGGACCGGCTGCCGGAGCTGCCAGCGGCGGAGGAGAAGAGGCTGCGCCGCGCTGCACAGATACTGCAGCAGAGACTCGTGCTACGCCAGTGGCTGGCCACGCATAGACTGCAACACACCTACTCCAAGTATGTTGATTTAGATTTAGTTTAATTTACCTATTTTGAGGATTGTTGTTAGTGTGAGTGAGTCAGAAAATCTTAAGAAAAATAAAATTTAAACAAATAGGTGTATCTAAGTACCCCGGTATCGATGTATTGGATCGGAGAAAATGCGAAAGTAGTAGTATGTTTTTAACTGGGGATTAGGTGACTCTATGTGGTGCCATTTTAAATATAATAAAGTAATTAAAAGACTAAGACACTTATTACGGAAACAAAGAAATACTTATATTAATCTGCCTTCTTAATAGTTTTACTCATAAAAGTTAACGAATTCAAGAATTCTATTAGGAAAGTTCTGTTCAAGAGGAAATTAACATTTCGGCTAGTCGCATCTACTGCAGAACATTAAGGAAATTGGTTTCGGTGACGTAAAACCTTAAATGGCCCTTACTGTTCCAAGCAGTAAAGCCAATTACTACCTAGATGGTCTAAAAATAAGAACTATTTTTGGTTAATGATTAAATGAAATGAAAATAATGAAATCGCTTGTCAGTGTTTACATTTGCCTATGTCCATATCTAAAAATGAATATTTAAATAGGGAACTTCAAATGCTTTATACGCTTAATGAGGTGATTTGTATTATACGTATTTTGTATGTATTTAATTAGTTGTACTAGAGAATCGATCCCTTGCTCGGTTATCATATTTCGGCTTATAGATCACTCAGAAATTTTAATTACAATAATCAAGACGGTTTTGTAATGATTTTTAAAGCGACATAAAATATTGTAGATATCTATAGTGTACCTAGAAACTATTGGAGCGAACCATAACTAATGTTTATGGGAATAAATCAAAGAGATAGCATGGCGGACATGTGCCAACAACATCGCCTTCAGATACTCGTGACCTTGACATTTCCACTTGACATGTCGAGGATAGCGGAACACGGGTTGTGGACACAAAAACTTCTTCACTTTTTGTTAAACTAACGATTTATCGTGTGTATACTGTATACTGGTTTTTATGCCAATATCTTTACGAAAGATTATTAGAGCTAAATGAGTTTTGACGATAAAATAATAAATAATACGCTTGTTAAACTCGAAAATCCGTACAGTAAATAGTTTTAGTGTAAGCGAACGACCATACAACAAATAACCGCTAAAAATTAATGTAAGAATCGACCGCAAATCATAAGCGCCGTGCATACAATTATCTAGGTCAGGTCACGTGTAAAATTTAATAAAGTTATTATTTGCATAGTGAATATTTATACAACAAGCTTCATATCTCAATTCAGAGTATTCAGAGTCGACGGGCCGACAGCTGAGCTTTTGTTGAAAGTATGTCAATTTTGATACAAGCGCCTCTCTTTGTTATGCCGTCGGCTGTCGGCAGCGGTGACAATACCTCGGTCTACTCATTCAGCTACCTTCCACCACAGGTATGTCACCAAGCCACTTTGGAAACTCCGGATTGATGTTACCAAAGGCTATTTTTAACGTGGAGCCTCTACGTGCTGATTGTGAAGTGGAAGGTGAACCTAAAGTTTGGGATCTATCTAGATCTGTTCTTATAGGTATCGTTTCAATGTTGTTTTTTGAAATGTTCCATTTTTTTATTAATTTCTACTGTTTCATATTGTTTTATTACCTTATCTTATATCTGATAGACTAAGCAGTTTTAAGCAACAGAATCCAGTTTTATACTCAGAAATTCTCTAAAAATTCTATATTGTGCAGAAACTAGATCAAAACGCGCCAATGTCATAAATGAAAATCGGAAGGTTCTAAAATATTTGATAGTGGAAGACAGTTATGCATAACGTAACCTCAGCACTCGCACACCAAAACCACGGCAGCCAGCGTAACAACAGTTTCCGCAATATTTTACTGGGAGCTTAGGACATTTCGCAAAAATTTGAATAAATTTCGTATTCAATTCTCGGCTTGCATTTTAGTAAACCTCCAGCCCATGTTGAGTACGACATATGTGCTGCATGTGTACGCGTACACACCCCCAGGGGGGATGCGGCAATCTGCTAAAACTTCCATTGCAAACTTGGAACAAAGCAATCGTAGAATAACAAACAATACTAAATTCCTGTCATGTTTTGTTTGACCTTTGCGAAATTGAGTTTGGAACCCTCCTACAATCCTCCGCCTATGAGACCCGCGTCAATGAGCCTCGGATCATGACTTTATTTGGGTACACAATCGTGCCCTTTTACAGGGACCAGAAAGTAGAAAAAGATACTGTTGCTGAAATTAAAAAAAGGGCAATAATCTGGCCTTTTCGCTTTAGAATATTACATTTAAAATTTACGACAAAAACACAATCTGGGCGCGATGCTTTTTAACGATCCAACGCGTTTCCATATTCATTGTTAGTGCTATCCTTTGAAAATACGAAGGGTATTGAAATTTTTAACTTTGGAATTTAGTCACTTAATATTGGAGTAGATCCTTGATCTTAACTCTATTACTTGTGTACTGTGGAGGCGGGTTCTGCAGACGGAGTAATCTTTGTGTAAATTAAATTGCTATTTGACGTAAGTACCTCCCACGGGTGCTGCGGCACGGGGTTATTCTTAATGAAATATCTTTGTTTCAAGTAGACACATTATGAACTATATGACAGATTATATTACGCCTACACTCAAAAGTATTTTGGAGAAGCCTGATTTGCTGGTCTTTGACGCCAGATTTTATCATCAGTGCCCGCTAATGAACATCCACAATAGTTACACTGGTAGACAGCTATTTGCAATGTTTTAAAATTAATGTCAATTCATTCTACTTACATTAACTTTTCAGTGATGAATGAAACTCATTTGCCTTAATATCCTGAGATGAATCTGCCGCTTTTAAAATGTTCGTGTCTTCACAAAGTTAATAGTTACCGACTCTTTTCAATAAGTTTTACGAAACTAGTGCACCGAATTTAAAAGTAGAAATCTGGATGGATATTATCTATCGTAGTATAGAAGTAAGAAAGTAGACTTGTGTATTAATTCATGCAGCTTTTATATTTTTATGTAAAGACCTATTTGAATAGCAGTGATTTCAATTTCTACAGGATTAAAATACATTTAGAAATATCTGTAAATTAACACGAATCGTAAAAATGTTTTACCGAAATCAAAGAATTCTTATTAAATAAAATCACTACAAAACTTAAGTAAGACACTAAGCTTAAATTAGAGAGCAATTTAAAATCATAAAATGCTTGAAGGAAAGGTTAAAGATATTCCAGATTGAGATCTGCAGAAAATAGAATGGACCACTAAATTCAATTCGACTTGCTGAGCTCCGGAGACCTGTATTACGCTCTGCAACTGTGGCATACTAAACATACATATTGTGGTAGCTAGCAGCGCGTCAATTGTACATAACTCCTGCACCCTTAGTTTAAGTAAGTCAGTATACATTGAATAATATCGATCAGTAAACTGGCCCATTGCAAGAAAAAGGTCTCTTTTCATATATAAAAAGAAAAATAATTACTGAGTTACTGAGCTTACTCAAGGATGATTTCGAATCTACAAGAGTGACGAGCATGAATCTGAAGGTCACCGAGTCCGCGTTCGACGTTTATATATACGCACGCCCTCGTAAAATCGCAATCAAAAGTAAATCCGTGACCAAAACCCGATCTTTCAACTCATCCTTATACCATGAAGGTTTTATGAAAAAAGGTCCAAGATTTATCCTCATTTTCACTTAGACAGGAGAAGGTTGGATCGCCTATCGGCGCACGTCCCTACGCTTGATATATGACAATCTTTTGCGCTCCATTGAATTTCTGGTAACTGCAAAAGACGTTTTTCACATATGAAGTGTTTCGATTCACTCGAAGGAATTCTTCGTGTCTTTAGAATATATTTACAAGCTTCTTTGACGTTTATTTGGTTTGTTCTTGGGTAATTAGCTTTAAAGTGTTTTAGTGTAATTGCATATTAATAAATAAATGTGTGTAAAGGGGGTTCTCATAAATCCTCCATCACAACTGGTCTTGATTATAGTGTTATGATTGGTTTGCCTCCCGTGCACATTTTGGTCTAGTTTAGTTTTTAATAAAGTACATTAATAAATATAATTTGTTACCACTAAATAAACAGTAAATATCTTCAGTAAGTAAATAGTTTCCATTTGATGACCGATCACGAGATATTGTATTGACGGGACAGGTACTTACCGTGGAATTGGCTTCACCTTTCACGCGACTCGGTGAAGCTCGTATTACTTCTATTTTTAGGTTTCATTGTACACACAGACTGAATCTGTCCTGAATCTTTTATGAGAAAAAAGTATTTTTAGAAATATTCTTAGGTTTTGAAAGTACTTATGAAAATACATTTACGTATTTTTTTTTTATATTCGATCCTCACCTTGTCATCCTAAACGTATTAGCTTCCCAAATACTAAAAGAGCGATTGGTATCGTTGTAACTCCAAGCAGGCTTTCATTTTTCCTGATAATGTGTAACATTTGTATACCTAAATGATACGAAGACGTATAAAAATACGTATCTCCAAATTGACTCTATTTGCGCGGGAAAATACGCAGCTGTTACCGGTAACTTTGTCTTAAATCTCACTAGATTTACTGGAGCTTCGATATTATTTTTAAAACGTCTACAGTAAGAATTCTCAATTGAATTATATTATACAATTTATATTTTTAACCGTCGAAAATTATCTTTGTGTATGGCTTCTGCCCTATTCCAAATGATTTCTTAAATAACTGGCAAAACACATCTCCATGTTGGCCAAAAATACGCCAAAACTCTGTCATGCCAAAACTAGGTTCACAGTAATTTCTCAGACAAACTGTATCCCAAGATTGTATGTAGTTCAAAAATATCTAGGACTTGAGATAGACAACAAATTTAACTGGGGCAAGCACGTTGAGCATATTTGCAATAGGTTAAGGCAATTTTTAGCTAATATTATAATTCTTAAGAACCGAATACCCTTCAAAGTTAAACTTATGTTGTATAATTCCTTAGCTGAATCAT